GTAACACAATAGAGGGTTTCTTTTGAAGACAAATACTTGACAATATTCTCTATAGATTAAATAGATCATGTTTGTTCTTGGCCCTCAAATTCAACATTGTAGGATTCCGATTACTAATAGCTGATTTCTTACCTAGAACTTCTTCTAGCGTTTCTGGACAAAAAAAATGATGAATTTTTATTATAGCTCAATTTTAATTTTGTACAAAGGTTATACCGACTTAAACACAATATTATTAATTTCAAACGAACAGATTAACCAATGAATGCGTCGAGAATGTAGTGGGTTCTCAAGATCCTTCAAACATTTTATGAGTACTTGCTTGGGGAATATTTTTCCTCGAGCATAACTTTTATCGCTTTTTATGCTTTATCTTTAGTAGAAAATCCGGTTTGATCTGTTCGGCCATCTCTGAGAACCAATTATGATCAAAAAGAAACTAGATCATAGACACAATTGCAGAGAGAAGAAAACCTCTGTTAGCAGAATAAGAATTAGAAACTAATTCATGAAAATTTCTGTCTATTTCATTGATTGAAGCAAAATGATACAACCAGAAAAAATGTTTTTGATGACAAAGTATTTGATCAAGCCTCCGAGAATATTTTCAGAGAGCCTTTCCCGTTTTACATGCAAATGCGCACATTTTTTAATAAGAAAGTCGCTATCTCCACATAGCCACTTTCTTATAATTAGGATTTCAATTTATTAATTCAACAAAATAATTTGACTTGTACATTAATTTTCCGTTGGGCCCGTCAGTAATTCCTCAACCCGGAATCCCACTGGACTTTGCTGGCTCTTCAGATCTTTTAAGATCCGATCGGATTCTATCGGAACAAGCCCTGAATCTCGTTGGATTCGATCAGCTAAGACACATGGATCCGACTGGATTGTATCGGATCATGTAATAAAAATAAAGGGACCCGACAGGATCAGGTCGGATTTATAACAAGGTTCTACAAGTTATCTGCGCTGAAAAAGGTTCAGACGGAACTTAATCAATATTCGCAGATCTGCAACGAAATAGAAACCCTTTTCAGGTTTCCTAAAAGTATGATTCCATACCCAACCATCTTAAATTCACATTCAAATTGGCTTCGTAGCTGAAATTTCGTCACAGTTACAATGCACTCGATCTGCGCTTGCACGATTTGAACGCATAAATCTATCATCTACCTTAATCCCTTAAAATAATCTATCCCCTAACTTAACCCTTTAACCTTAATCTATTACATTTTCTATATCTATCTCCGTAACTTAACACTTGTGTCCTAATTCAACGCCCAAAATATTCTCGTAACTGTGTTTAACTCCTTCGCTTAAACGAATATGATTACTTGGACTCCTCAACAGAAAACGTGCATGACTAGTTTTCATTGTGACTACAACTTACAGTTAGCGGCGTAACCAGGATTTTAAGCTAGGGGATAGATTATTTTAAGGGATTAAGGTAGATGATAGATTTATGCGTTCAAATCGTGCAAGCGCAGATCGAGTGCATNGGGCGGGCGCGCCCCCCCGGCCCCTAGACTCTTTAGAGCCAATTAAAAACTGAATTTCTTCTACATTTCTTAGGAGATGTTGTACTTGCTTGATGTTCACTAATATATTTTTCAGTAACTATTTTTCATGTTAAGAGTAGTATTTTAAAGCAAAACAGCAATATACATTACATAAATACACAAAACAACAAAACTAACCTACAAAGATAGTAGAAAAAGTCAAAAATATTTACATTCACTTTATCAAAGCAAAATGAGACTATTTTGGTGATTAGTACAAAATATATCAGCTGTTTCTTCCAATAACACCTAAAAACAGAAATATTTCTAGGGAGGGGGGGGGGGGGG